CTCTGGACTTTGTATGGCTACTTCAGATGCTGCCCCCAAACCAAGTGCCCCACTGTTGTCTACAAGATGGCCCCTACCCCAGGGTCCCCATTTTGGTGATGACCCTCATCCACCCAAGTCCCATAAGCCCAAAGTCTGGGGGACACAGTGATGAATGGTCTCAGCTGTGTCCCCATTCAGGGACTCGAGGTCTAAGCAGGGACCTAGAGGTATAAACGGCACATAACGTGTGTCTGGCTAGGGGAAGAAGAAGAGGCCATAGGAACTCCAAGGAAGCTAGTGGACAAAGAAAGCTCACTGGAGGAGGAGGTGTTTGAACGGGGGCCTGAAGGTTTAATGAGAGCCAGGCAAGAAGGTGTGCAGAGGCTGAGATGCGAGAGACTGTGAAGCCATGGATAAGCCCAGAGAGGTCGTGGTGCATGTGTGTGTGTTTGTACGCACTTTGGGGAAGTGCATACTGAAAGATAAAGCTTAGTGGGTAAGTAACTACACAGGGGCTTGGAAGCACATTATAGAATTGGACTCAACCCTAAAAGTAATAGGGAGTCACTAAGGTTTCTTTTTTCCCCCATTTTTAAAAAGAGTGATATGTGCACACATAACCAAAATTTCATGAATCACAAAGGGGCATAGGAAAGAAAGAAAGAAAGGAAGGAAGGAAGGAAGGAAGGAAGGAAGGAAGGAAGGAAGGAAGAAAGAAAAGGAAAGAAGGAAAGAAAGAAGGAAAGAAAGAAAGGAAGGAAGGAAGGAAGGAAGGAAGGAAGGAAGGAAGGAAGGAAGAAAGAAAAGGAAAGAAGGAAAGAAAGAAGGAAAGAAAGAAGGAAAGAAAGAAAGAAAAGAAAAAAAGTCTCTTCCACCTCTGGATCCCTGGTCTCACTTCCCAGAGGCGATTGCTACTAAATTTCATGGGTTTCCTTCCAGAAATTTTCTTTTTATAAATAAACCCATATATGTGTATCTGACCCTTTTTGTATCTGTATGCATGGGGTCCCACTAGCCAGGCTGTCCCTGGATTTTTTCACTTAATTTATCTTGGGCATCCTTCCTCATCACTCCGTACACTCTGACAGCTGTGGGGGCTCCGTGTGGCTGTCTCACATTTCATGAATTAGCTTCTTGGTTTTCTTCTCGTCACCAACCGTGTTCTCTTGCACCCTCGGTGCACCACCGATCCTTCCTCATGACCATGCCTGGAGGTGGGCTTGCTGACCTAAATGCCAAGTACACTGTAAACTTTGATGGGAATTGACAAATATCTTTCCAAAAAGATTACAACCAGTTTACTTTCCCAGCAAGAACAAAGACGGGTTGGAGCCAATGAGCGGCATAGTTGGACCAACATATTAGAAAGATCATTCAGTCCTTTGTTTAACAAATATTCATAGGGAGCTACTTGCTTACTCTATGCCAATCATTGTTCTCAACCCTGAGCTTATATCCATAAACATGACAACGTTCCCATCCTCCTGCAGCTGACATTCTAATGGGAGAGACAAACCACAAGTAATAAACAACTGTATGTAATATGTCAGATGGTGACAGGTACTATGAAGAAAACTGAGCAAGACAAGGGCGATGGAGAGTGCCACAGTGCTGGGGACTATGGGTCAGGGAAGGTCCCAGGAAGGCGACCATGAAGATATTGGGAGAGAAGCCCTTCCAGGCAGAGGAAACAGCCAGTGCAAAAGCCCCAAGGCAGCGGGTGTCCAACGACCAGCAAGGCAGCCGGTGTGGCTGAAGCAGCATAATTGAAAGTAGTAGGGGGGCGCCTGGGTGGCTCAGTCGGTTGAGCATCCAACTCTTCATTTTGGCTCAGGTCATGATCTCACGGTTTCGTGAGTTTGGGCCCCACATCGGGGTCTGTGCTGGCAGCTCGAAGCTTGCTTGGAATTCTCTTTCTCTCTTCTTCTTCTTTCTCTGCCCTGCCCTCACTCATGCTGGCTCTGTCCTCTCAAAATAAATAAAAATTTTTAAAAATTAAGAAAAAAAAAAAGTAGTAGGAGACAAGGCCAAGATCAGTGATGGGGCCAGAAGATGCAGGGACATGTAAGGAGTTTACTTTTACTTCACACAGGATGGGGAGACACTACATGGTTCTGAGCAGAAGAGGGATGATCTGCCTTGGATCTTGCTAAGATCCTTCCAGCTGCTGTGTTGAGAATGAACTGTTCGGAGCAAAGGAGAAAGCCAGGATAATCCAGGTGGGAGATAGTGTGAGTTTAGCTCAGGAGATATTCTGGATATATTCTGAAGGGAGATCCATTATGTTTTGCTGATGGATGGGATGTGGGGTGTGTGAGAAAAGTCAAGGGTGACTCTAGGGCTTTTGACCCGAGCATTAGTGAGGTGGCTTTGGGAACGATGTCAGGCAGAGCAGGTCTGGGGGGGACCCAGTGCCCTGCTCACTCTGGCTGCTGATATGTAGTGGGATGGAGTTGCTCACAGATCCAGCTGCCTGCCAGATCCTCTCCCTGGATGTCCCCCAGACACCACACGCTCAGCTTGTCTAAAACACAACTCTGTTTTCCCCCAGATCTCCTGGCTCACACACACACCCCCACCCTGGCCAGAATCCTGAGGGTCGCCCCTACTGTCACCTCCTACAGCTGGCTGGCTCTTGTCAGTTTTCCCCAAGATTGCTCAATTCTGCCAACTCTCTTTCCCTGGGACCTTTACTGTACCAGCTCTCTAGATTATTGCAGAGAAGGGCTGGGTGGAATGAATGAAGAGTTGGAAGGATGAGAGATTAAAGAATGATTGGCTAACCCCTCTCCTCCAGCCTCCACCCCAGAGCAGTCTTTGAAAGCACACATTTCAGACTATGTCCCTCAACGATAAACCATTCACGTCTCCCCAGGGCCTACACAGACCCAAACTGGTGGGCTACAGACGTGTTTTGTTTGACCCACATAGTGTTGTTTTTCTTGTTTAACCTTGAATTAGGGTATTTTACATTAAACTTCTGGATTTCCTGCTGCTCACTGATACTACCAGGATGTACTTCTCCAAAGCAGTCCTTGGCTGGTGGAGTAGTGGCCCCCACTTCAGACAGGGCATGCACTCTCTGGTTTGTCCCTTTCCCCACCATTTCCTATTGTTTTCTATCCAGCCTGCTCCCCTCACTTAAATTACCTGCCTGGCCCCTATGGCATCAGAGTTTGTGACTCATGGTCTGGAAGACAAAAGCGTAACTTCTAGGTAGCATGCTGCACGGGGTGGGCTGACGAGGTAGATGAAGGGTGCGTGCTGCATGGGTGATGGTACATAAGCTGAAAAGTTAGTTGCGAAGGGCCTTGAATGCCATTTTAAGAAGTCTGACCTTTATCCAGAGGGCCACTGGGAGCAGAGAAGCAGGGGAGTGATATGGTGGGACAGGAGTGGACCAGATGGGGGCAGAGAACCCAGAGGAGGCCCAGCTGCTAGAAGACAGGTGGGAAGGAGAATATAGAGACTCCTCCCCACTAGGTCGTCCTGAGTCTGAGTCTGTTTTCTCTGTATTTCAGAACCAGATAGCAGCCTGGGGCACAGGTATGGTCACGAGGGCAGTTGGGCAGTGCTGAAGACCCAGCCTGGCTCCAGCTTCTTTGAAAGAACTCCAGCCCCCCAGCACCTCAGCCCACAGCCCTCTGCTGCCCACAGGATGGGAGCCTGGGGGCTGGGAACCCAGCCATGAGGGACTCCTGCCCCTCCCAGCAAAAGGCCAGCCCTGCACTCCTGAGGCACACCCCTACCCAAAGCCCAGGCATGGACTCTAGACACAGCAGCCCCATTGGGGCTGGGGAAGGGGCCTCCTGTTCTGAGGGCCCTGGCAGGAGCTTGGCCTGCCCCTCCCTGACCTGCATCCCTCCCCAAGAGGCAGCCACCAAGGAGACATTGGGGGCACATGGAGCCTTGATCTCAGGGACACAAGAAACCACCTTCTCTGGGAAGCCAGACCCTGTGTCCTCAGTGAACACTGATCTCTCATCCTTGGAGAATAGAAATCCTGTGTTTTTAGAGAAGATGGAATCCAAGTCTTCAAAGCAGGCAGATTCCACTTCCATGGGAGAGGAAGATGCTGGGCCCTTGAGAAAGGCAGAATCCATGTTTATAGTAAAAACAGAGCCTGCAGTCTTGGGAAAAGGGGATCCTGTGGCTCCTAGAAGGATGGACCCTGTGACCCCAAGAAAGGAGGATCCTGGATCCTTGGGAAAGGTAGATCCTGTGTGTTCTGACAAGGTGGATACAGTGTCCCCAGGGAAGGAGGATCCTGTATCTGCTACCAAAGTGGATCCTGAGTTCCCAAGAAAGGAGGAGCCCAGGTATTCAGGAAAAGAGCTTCCTGTGGCCTCAAGAGAGGTGGCTTCTGTATCTGTGAGAAAGGCAGATCTTGTGTCCTTGAGAAAGAAAGATCCTGGGCCCTCAAGAAAGATGGATCCTGTGTCCTTGCTAAACGCAGATGCTGCATCTTCAGAAAAGACAGACCCTGGGTCTTTGGGAACACTGACTCCAGGGTCATCAGGCAAAACTGAGCCTGTATCCCCTGGAATAGTAGCTCTGGGGTCCTCAGGAAGGATGGATCCTACTCGCTTGGGGATGACAGATCCTGCATCTATGGGAAATACAGAAATTGTGTCCCCCACAAAAGAGGACCCTCAGTTCCTGGGGAAGGTGGATCCTGCCTCCTCAGGAAAGGAAGATTCCATGTCGGCGAGAGTGATAAAAACTATGTCTGCTGGGCAGATGGGTCCTGTATTTTCAGGAAAGATGGAACCCACATCTTTGAAAAATATGGATCCTGTGTCTTCAGGCAGGGTGGGACCGGTTTCTTTGGGGAAGGTGGAGCCTGTGTCCTCAGGAAAGCCAGAGCCCTTGTCTCCCGGGCAGGCAGAGCCAATGTCCATGGGAAAGACAGAGACCGTATCATCACAAAAGGAAGACCCAGTATCCTCCACAAAGGTGGACCCCATTTCTCTGGGAAATACAAAAACAGCATCTTCTGGAAAAGTGAACCCTGAATCGAAAGGAAGAATAGACCCAGTGCCCTCAGGTCCAGAGACTCCCAAATTCGTGGGGACAGCAGGACTCTCATCCTCTGTAAAAGGCGAGGCAGTGACTGGGGGGGAAGCAGATCCACTGTCCTCAGAGAAGGCAGGTCCTATGGCCTCTGGAATGGTGGGTCCCACAGCCTCAGGGAAGGCTGATCCCCTGGCCTTGGGCAAGGCAGACACTGTGAACAGAGGGAAGGCAGAAACTATTCCCCCTGGGGAACTGGACTCTGTGTCTTCAGGAAAAGGGGACCCCACGACTCTAGAAAAAACTGTCCTGGCATCCTTGGGAAAAGCAGAAACTGTGCCAGAGGAAAAGGTGGATCCTGTGCCTCCAGAAAAGGGGAATCCTATGAACTCTGTAAAGGTGGATCCCCGGGCCTCGGGGAAGGCAGAACCCAAGTCTGAGGGCAAAGCAGAAACAAAGCCCCTTGGGCAGGAGGGCCCTGCGGAAAAAGCAGAGGCTGCATCTCTGCAGAAGGAAAAGCCACTGGCTTTGGAGAAAGGGGAGCCAGAATCCTCAGGAAAAGCAGACCCTATTGCCTCTGGGAAAGTGGAGCCTGCGGTCCTGGGGAAGGCCAACGCTCCAAGCAAAGCAGAGCCCTCATCCTCCGGGAAGTTGGGCTCCCTGCCTCTGGAGAAGGCGGAGGCCTCCTCTTCCAGGCAGTCAGATGGCAAACCCTGCGGCCCAGGCGCTTCTCCCGCGGGTGCCGGTAGCGGCGGAGGCCTCCTGGAGCCAGCGCCCAGCACAGCGGTCTCCAGCCCAGGCCAGAAAGACCCGAAGGTCGCTGGGACCGAGAGAAGCCCCGGCCCAGAGGCCGCAGGGCCCCCGGTGGGGCCACGGACTCGCGACAACTTCACTAAGGCGCCGTCGTGGGAGGCCAGCGCCCCGCCGCCGCGCGAGGACGCGGGCACGCAGGCGGGCGCACAGGCCTGCGTGTCGGTGGCCGTGAGCCCCATGTCTCCGCAGGACGGCGCGGGCGGCCCGGCCTTCAGCTTCCAGGCGGCGCCTCGCGCGCCCAGCCCCGCGCCCAGGCCGCCCTCGCGCCGGGACGCGGGCCTGCAGGTGTCGCTGGGCGCCGCCGAGACAGCAGCTCAGCCTGCCAGACCCCATCCTGACGCCTGAGCAGCCGCGCTCACACCCCCACCTGCGCGCGGCTCCTCCGCCTTCCCAAAGTGCAGATTTGCCCTGACCAGCTCACACTGGCGGCCGCCGTGGCGCCCCAGGGAAACACGGCAGCCCGTGCGCGACGTGAGCTGGGACGAAAGAAAGGGCATGACGTGGGGAGGGTGTGTACCCGGTGCCTCCATGGGTGGGGTGCTGAGCCAGCTGTGGCCATCAGAAGCAGCATCTGGGCGACAGATCAGGGGGCTCGGCCGCCAGGCGCCCGCACCGCCGCGCCCGCCGCCCGTCCAGATTTGACGACCGTGCAGGCTCGGTGCGCGCCGCGCCCCCAAGTCCGCCAGCGCCCGCCTGGCCTCTTCCGCGCTGCTGCAGGTGCGCCGCCCGCGGTGCTGTCCCGGAGCCGGACCACGGCCAGTGATCTCCTCCCTTTCGTACGCCCGGGTTTCCAACCTTTCAGGTTCCTTCTTGACCCTTCTCCTAGAGGATCCCTTAGACAGGCAGAAGGAGCCTGACAGTGTAGCTTGGGCAGCCCCCCCTCTGGGAGCCTTCTCGTCCTTTCTTTCCAGCCTCCCTCCCCCTTCAGCCACACAAATGAACCCTGCATGCTACCCAGCCCCTCGTGGTCATGAGTTACAGACGAACCCAACCCCTGACACCCTCTGTCCCACAGCTCTCAGCTCCACTCCTCCCGGGTCAGCTGGGTGACACGGGGCCCCTACTCCTACTCCCCTTGAAAGGCCCAGCCCTGAAGAGCTGAGGCAGGCTCCTGAGATGTCCAGATTGGTAGGCTGAAGTCATCAGTGGCCGCCCGGTCCCAGAACAGGAGAGACTGTACAAAAGCTCCAAGTGTGCAAGGATTGGTGTGTGAGATCCCTGAGTGTGCAAGGCTCCAAATGTGAGGCCCCTGGAAGAGCGTGAGTGTGTGTCCATGCAGTGGGCTGGCCCCCATGGCCCCGGGCATGTCTTGCATGCTGGTAGTCATCCCCAATTCCTGTCTCCCTCTCACCTGGCCCCATCCCCAGCCCTATCTCCACCCTCACTGGACACTTGTTCACAGTCCCACAACAGGGAAGGCAGCTGCAGGGAGTGCCTGTTTACACAGTTCTAAGTGTCGCAGAAAAGGTCCAGAGAAGGCTCTGAACAGGTCTAGGGGCTCTACAGACAAGCTTCGTGTGGTGGATGAAGTCTTGGGTCCCAGGCAGCCTGACAGCTGGTCTTGGGTATTGAGCAGGGCCACGGAGCTTTCATTCTACAACCCCAGTTGTCCTCTCAAGGCTGCCCTCTCCCACCCCTCGTCCCCCCTGTGCTGTGAGCCCCACGAGTCCCTTGTGATCACTCAATACCCGTTTCCCCCCACCCCTCCAGCCACAGTTTTTGGCTACAAACTGTCACAATATACATTGGTAATAAAAATTTCCCCCAACTGTTGTCAGCTGTGATTGGCTACAGGCAGAACGGGGGCAGAGCAGCAAGATATATTGTTGTGTTCAGGGAGGGGTAGGTGTCATTTGGGGGTGACAAGACCTCTTCCAAGGTGCAACGGAAGAGCGGGGGCCATGTGGGGTTCTGCAGCCTGGGTCCTGTGGCAGCGACATCACAGGTCTGTGGTGTCCAGGCCAGCATTGGTGAAGGAGAGCTCCTGCTGTCCATCTGTGTCCACCTTCCTTCCTGACAGCACTGCACCCAGGGGTTCCGTATCTAGCTCCACTGGACTGTGTAGGGGCTCCTTCTGTGGGGAGAAGGAGGGAAGGTGTGAAGGCAGAGACAAGATGGGGTGATTTCCTCAGTCCTTAGTGGAGTGGGCCTTCAAGCCCACGACAGGTGGCTCCTTTACAGGGGTCCCGCCTGTTCCTCCTAGGGCCTCAGTTTCCTGGCTGTGTCCCAGAGGTGGCGACAGCCCCTAGTGGTGCAGACACACTCAGGTGAAGGGGTGGGCCTGAAGGGGGTCTGTTCTGGCCTTTGCCCCAATCCACGGGCAGAGGAGCACTTTGGTGTTCTTCCCAGTCCTGAATAACACCAGGCCCTGTGTCCTGGGCCGAGGAGCCAGTCCTGTCCACTACCTGCCACCTGCATCCCAAGGCAGGCCACCGTGCTGGGCACAGTCCGTCCGTGACCTCAAGTCCCCACAGGAGCCCCCTGGGGGAGGGATCACGTACCCCGCTTTACAGATGGCTGAGGCTCAGAGGGATCGCATGGCCAGGAAGAGGCAGAGCAGGGTTTGGATCACTGGTTGTTTTGGCTCTAAAGCCTGTCCATCGCTGCCTCTGGTTGAATTTGGCATCTCCTTCTGCCACAGTTAGAGGGACACAGCCCACCCAGGGTCCCACCTGCAGTTCATTATGGCGTGCACTCCCTAATTGGTTCTAATTGAACCAACTCGTCTATTGAACAAATGATGGCACTGCTGATTATTCGAGCCTACACCCTGCCAGCTTTCATATAAAGGGTATGAACAGAGGGAACCAGGTTTTTTAGCACTTGTGTCATGCCAGGTGGTTTTTTATACCCACTCAAACTTCATCCTCACAAAGTCCTGCATGGTTAGTGTTCTCATCCCCATTTACAGATGAGAAAACTGAGAGCTAGAAGGAAGCCGCCCAACCAGAGTCACGGCGAATGAGTAGAAGAGCAAGGATTGGACCCCATTCCGAAGCCATGGGGCTTCCCGGGGCCTGGCGCAGGGACATGCCCATGTCATCAGCAGGTCCTTCAGCTCTGTCCTGAACCCCGCCCCTTCAGAGAAGGACCCCAAGTCAGAAGCCCCAGGCACCCACTCATCCCCCATCTTGCCTTTGTTTTCTGCTTGTCCTTTTCCAGGTCCACAGAGTTGTCATCCAGGGAATTGAGGCTGTGGGGGAGATGGTGGGGCTCACATAGTTAGCAGCCCCAGTCCTCCCTGTCTGTGGCCAAGAACCACCATTGCCTCCATCACCACCACCACCGACCAGCCTGGCTGTGCGGGCCACTGCTCACCTCATGTGGTCTAGGTCACTGGAGGAGGATAGGGACTCGAAGTTCAGATCCTTTGTGGGGAGGTTCAGCATAGGGTTGGCCCTGGAGAGAAGGCCTGTTTAAGCAGTTGGGAGCCTCAGACACCGCACGGGGCCTCTTACCCACCCTTTGACCCCCGCTCACCGCTCAGTGGTATACATGTTAGTCCCAGGGATGGCAGAAGCTGAGGGCATCACCCCTGCTGCTGTCCTCCGGGCCTCTTTGGCAGCCTTCATAGCCCGAAGCTTTCGGTGGTAGCTGTGGAGAACCAGGAGGAGGTGGGGCGCTACTCTCCCTGCACACCCACTGTGTGCCTAGTGCAGGCCCTGCGAGTGTGACTTCACAACAACCCTGGCAGGTGAGAGTGTTAGCTCTATGTACGGAGGGTACAAGTAGGAGCCAGAGATAGGATATGATTTGCCAAAGGCCACAGCTGGCCAGCGACAAGACCTGGAGTCAAATCCAGAGGTGGCTGCTGCCTCCAAATATATTGGAAAGGGGAAAAGAAGCAGTATTTATAAATGGATAGTATGTGCCAGACATCCTGCTGGTTGCAAGATGCACACTGCTTCCTTGTGTGCTTTGAGGAATCTAGTGTTGTGCTCATTCTGCAGATGCGGAAACTGAGGCTTAGGGAGGGAGAGATGAGCTGTCCAAGTTGTCACGACAGGTCTCTGGGGATTAAATACAGGTATACCAGACGCCTACACCCAAGCTCTTTCTACCCACCATATGTCTTAGATGGTGGGAAAGGTGGGGTTGAAGACAGAAGGGGTGATGGGAGCAATACCTCTTCCGGGTGCACACAAGGGCCACAGTCATGATCACGATGACCAGCAGCAAAGCCACTCCCAATCCTATGATGACACTGCTGAGCAGCTTTGGCAGGTCTGACTCCTGGCTCTCCTGGGAGCCCTGGAGAAGAAGCATGAGGGAGGTTGTGGGTTGACATTCCCCCTCCCAATGCCCCCATTACCTCCACCATGCTGACACTCACCAGCACCACCAGCCCCAGCTGCAGCAGCCGCGTCAGGGAGTCCTGGTCATTCCGGATCATCCTGGCCACAGAGCCCCACTCAGGCCCGAGGGACATTGGCATCCCCCAGGCTTCCTGCTCACCCTCCTGCCCACCCCAAGGGCAGCCCCACTCACACACTCAGCTCATCAAGTGTCAGGGCAGACCCATTCGAGAAGACAAAATAGGCATCGAGGTAGGAACGGCCCCGGGCCCTGGAATGGGGCAGGGATGAAAAGTAAACAACCCAGAACCACCCAGCAGGTCCCTCATACTGCTGCTTCTTGTCCTCCAACCACTGGGACTGTGGGCACTCACCGAGTCATGGATTCTATGTCCTGAATGCTCACAACGTAGACAGTAGTCCTGGTGGCCTGAATGAGGGCCCTGCAAAGGGGGAAGATGTCGCAGAGGCATGGGGTAGGGGCCCTAGTACAGCCTGTGGCCAGTGGAATTAGGAATTGTGTTAATTAGAAAGGGGCACCCTCTCTGGACAGCTTCGTTGGCTAAGCAGGTAACACCTCTGCAAATCAGGCAAGGCAGCCCCTTCCTTTGGGGCTGGGTTTATGACTTAGCAAGCAGAATGCCCTTGTGCAGTGCACAGCCTTCACAACTGTACATGGCGGCCCTATTTAGGCCTCTCTCTACCCAGCCAACCCTAGGCTTCTAGGAGCATTGAGAAAGGAACTGCAGGTACAAGTACTGGATCAAAGACAGAGACAAAATCAGGGGTAGGTCGGGGACAGAATCGACATACATTCCATCCAGGTCCTGTCAGGGATCAGACTCCCAGGCCCTGTTCTTCCCCACAGGCCCCTCTGGATGCCCCAGACCTACGCTGTAATCTCTTCCATGTTGGCGCCCACCTCCTCCTTGTTCATGGAGAACTGCAACCTTACACGGTAACTTTGGTCCACAGTGAAGAGCTACAGGAGGAAGGCATGGTGAAGATGAGGCACGAGGGACCTGGGAGCAGGCAGAGGGTACTAGAGGCAGGGCCAAACACTCACATTCAGGGTGATAATGGCTTCCTGAGCAGGACCCACAGAAGGTCTGTCCCGGGCCTCGACTGTCACTTGGTAGGTGCCTTGGAGGGTGGAATCGAGGTTGGTCACCAGCCTATTGGAGATGGAAGAGCACAGCTTGGTCTTGGGACCCAACTGAAGTCCTCTGGAACCTACTTATGTACCTGCTAGGATGAGGAACTCACTGTCTTGAGGCCCTCCCTTGGGTCCCCCCCCCCCCATCCAGGGGCTGCCCACAGTTACTCAATGTTGCCAATGAACACATTGGCCTCCAATGAGGTGGAGACCCGGAAGAAGCCCTGGAAAGGGGTCGTGGTCCCATCCTTGGCGATGAAATCCACTTGGAAGATGGAGAACAGGATGGCCCCGTTGTTCCCTGAGTCATCGTCTTTGGCCTGGGAGAAAGAGTGGATGGCACCTGGGAGCCAGGCTAGGCACCCCTCCACCCCCAGCAGGACTCAGCAGCTAAGATGGCCTGGGAGACTGGTCCCATTATCTCCATCAGCCTTCTCCAGGCCACCTCAACTAAGCAAACGTTTTAGGCAATGTTCTTGCTCTGCAAATCCAGGTTTGGACAAGTCCCTGCTTCTGGCCCCCTAACTCATCAAGTCACTGCCCAAAGCCCTTCCCATGTGGAAATCCTGCCTTGCTTCCCCTCACCCACTGCCACACACACACACACACACACACACACACACAAGCACAAGGACACTCAAATTTCCTGAG